TCAACTCTACTGAAATATTTTTAGCCTAGGTCTCCATGAAAATCACCATCCCAAAATCAGTGCTCAAGTGCCAGTCTTCATTCCACATGACTCTTCCGCACGAGATATAAGTAGTCTTTGCTTCCTGTAACCCACACTGCTATGGTTTGTCCCTTCCAAAATGCACATTGAAATCTGGCCCCCCCAGGGTAAGAGCTGAGAGGGGTGGGACTTTTTTTTAATATTTATTTTTTAGTTTTTGGCAGACACAACATCTTTGTTTGTATGTGGTGCTGAGGATCGAACCCGGGCCGCACGCATGCCAGGCAAGCGCGCTACCACTTGAGCCACATCCCCAGCCCCAAGGGGTGGGACTTTTAAGAGGTGTTTGTGTCATGGGGGCTCTGCCCATATGAAGGGATTAATGTTGTTCTTGGGAGAGATCTCATGGGAGGAAGTCATCTTTCTTTGGCACACACCTACTTGCTCTTCTGCTTCTCTGCCATGTTGTGGTATTGCTTAAGGCCCTCATCATACATTAGCTTGATTTAATCATTTCCAATGTATTCATATATGAAAACATGTTGTACACCATAAATGTGTACAATTTTTATTTGCCAATTTAAAAGTTAATTAATTTAAAAATGACCTGCAGGTCAAAGAGGAAATAGCAAAGAAATTTAAAGGATCATAAGTACATCCTTTATTTAAAGCCACACATGATCTAAATATGCTTCAGTCAATGATAGAGTGCCTATATGATGGTGGTTCCATAAAATTATATTGCCCAGTTATGGTGGAGCTATCTTAGTTTCTGTAAACATGAGTTCTATGAGTTTCATACAACAATGAAGTTGCCTAACTATCATTTCTCAATGTATTCCCCTCATTAAGTGGTATGTGGCAGGATATATATATGTACACCTCCACACACACAATTTTACACTTATAACTTCAATGACTTAGAAGAAATGAACTAATTCCTTGAAACAATTAACTATCAAAACTTAGCCAAGATGAAAAAGATCATCTGAATAGTCTAACAACTATTAAAGAAATTGAATTTGTAATTCAAAATACCCCTGAAAGGTGCTGGGGTTGTGGCTCAGCGGAAGAGTGCTTGCCTAGCATGTGTAAGGCCCTGGGTTCAATCCTCAGGACCACATAAAAATAAAGGTATTGTGTCCAACTACAACTAAAAAAAAAGGCTCCTGAAATAGCTTGGCACTGGGGCACACACCTGTAATCCCAATAACTTGGGAGCCTGAGTCAGGAGGATCACAAGTTTGAGGACAGCCAGGCAACTCAGCCAGAGCCTGAACATAAAAAAGGGCTAGGGGTACAGCTCAGTGGTAGAGTGCCCCTGGATTACATTCCCAGTAAAATACACACATATACACACACATACACACATGCACACACACAAAGTCCCCCAAAGAAATCTCCAGGTCCAGATGATTTCACTGGAAAATTTATTTTTGCCATTTGTATGTTTTAAACAATTTCTTCTAGAAAATAAAAGGGAATGCTTCCCAACTCACCTAACAAGGTCAGTAATTACTCTGATACCAAAAATGGGCTAAGTCAGAACACAAAAAGAAACTACAGGCCAATATCTTTCATGAACATAAATAAAAAATCTTCAACTAATTTTATGAATCCAACCCAACAACAATAAAAAATACTGTTTTATCATATAATATACTACATATATTATATATTATACTATGTAATATAGTATGATTATATCAATTGATGTAATACATCAAATAAATATGACAAAGAAGAAAAATAACTTGATTGCATCAAAACCCATTCATGATAAAAACTCTTGGGGCAATAGGAGAGGAGGTAAATTTCCTTCATCTCATAAAGAGCATTAAAAACAAAAACAAAAAAACTATAGTTTATATCATAATGATAAAAGACTCCAGTACAGGAAGTGGGGCAAGGAAGGATGAAAAGAAAAATTATAGACTTGGGGAAAAATGTCCAACAAAGGCCTTCTAGAATACACAAAGAATGCACAGTGGCAAAGGCCTCTAATCCTAGCTACTCAGGAGGCTGAGGCAGAAGATAGAACGTTCAAGGTCAACTGGGCAAATTAGAAAGACTCTGGCTCGGGCTGGGGATGTGGCTCAAGCGGTAGTGCGCTTGCCTGGCATGCGTGCGGCCGAGGTTCAATCCTCAGCACCACATATAAACAAAGATGTTGTGTCCACCAAATACTAAAAAATAAATATTAAAAAAATTCTCTCTCTTTCTCCCTCTCTCTTAAAAAAAAGAAAGACTCTGGCTCAAAAAAAGAAAGAATACACAAAGAACATTGAAACTTAACAGTAAAAAACAATCAAATTAAAAAATGAGCAAGAGACAATTTACTTAATAGGATATACAGACAACAAATACATGAAAAGACATTCAATACCATTTACCATTAAGGAAATTCAATTGGCTTTTTTTCCTATTTCATATACATACACATGTGCACACACACGTACACACACACATAATTCTTATATTACACTTGATCTTAGCCAAAAGGCCGAGAAGCGATTGTTTGTATTTCTTATATTCATGTATATATTAGTACATGAAAATAAGCCTTAATTTGTCTACATGAAATGTTCAAGAATTAAATTGTGGGTGGTATGGTAAACGTATTTTCAGTTTTGAAAAGAAATGCCCAACTATTTTCCACAATGGTCATACATACCATTTTACATTCATTTTTACATCATCATGCATAAGCTATCCATTTTCTCTGAATCCTAGCCAGCATTTGATATTATATTTTTCATTTTACATTTTAACCATTCTCATAGGTGAGTAATGATATCTCATTTTTGGTTTTAATTTGAATTCATGAAACAATGTAATTATAAAGATGGATAAGAGCACAGTGGCTACCAAGGGTTAGAGAAAAGGAAAAAGAAATGAGTGTAGCTATAAAGAGATAACACAGGGAGTCTTGTTGAATATGTTGACTATTGTGGTGGAGATGCAAGGCTACAAGTGATAAAACTACATATAGTTATTTATATACACACATAAACGAGGGTGTGTATAAATCAAGAAATCTGAATAATTTCTATGGATTATAGCAATGTCAAATTTTTGGTATGATATTGTACTATAGTTGTGTAAGGTATTTATACTAGGGGAGACTGCAGGACTTTCTGTACATTTCTTTGTAACCTCCTATGAGCCTCCATTTTAAAAAAAAAACAAAACATTTTTTTAATCACAATATACCAGGGCTGGAGATAACAGCTTAGTGGTAGAGTACTTACCAAGGCCCTGAGCTTATACTCAGCACTGCAAAATAAAAATAAAAATAAAACCAATCAATCAATCTCTATACCCCACGCCAAAGGAAAAGACTAGTCAGGCAATAAGATTTCCTTTGTAAAGAAATGACATCTTTAAATTAAAACACATAGAAAAATATGTATCCTTTTTCTATGATTTTCTTATGTTAGTATTTAATGGCTTCCACAATAAAATACTTCAAACTGGATGGCTTACAACAACGCAAATGTATGCTTTCACAGTTCCTAAGCAATGTAATGAGTTGTGGACATCATTAAAGACCTTTGACCTGTATAATGATATGCTCTTGGCCTCCAGAACCATAAATATTGCATGTTGGCACACAGAAACCCAAAAATTCTTTGCTGACCACTTTCCCATCCCAATCAACCTCTGCCATCTCTACCTCCTCAAGGTAGTCATATTTTGTTTAACTCTCCCAACTTCTAAACAATCCTAATTCTTTCCTAAGATTTCTACTAAAACATTTTTTCGTATATTCTTGACCCCTACTCTTCATGACACATTAAAAATGTTATTCCATCATCTACCAAAGCAATTTATATGAATCTTTTAAAAAATAATAATAAATGTTAGGCAGGAAAACTGCAAGTCTGAGGATAGCCCAGGCAATATAACCTGTCTCAAAATAAAATTTAAAAAGGTAGGTAGGAGACTGGGTCAGCTACAAGGGAGGTCAAGGCAGGAGGACAGCAAGTTCAAGGTCAGCTTAGGAAACTTTGTATGACCCTATCTCAAAATTAAAATAAAAATAGCTGTGCCTGAAGCTTAGTGGTTCAATCCCCAGTATTTAAAAACATAAAAAAGAAAGAGAGAAAGGGCTTTACCTTAGTGATAAAGCACTTGCCTAGCATGCAAGAGACCCTGGGTTCAACTCCAGTAAAATACCCCACAAAAAAAAAAAATCCTGTTGATTGTATCGTTATTTTTTAAGAATTTTTTTTCACAATGCTTTTATTTTATTTATTGATTTTTTATGTGGTATTGAGGATGAAACCTAATGCCTCACACCTGCTAGGCAAGGGCTCTACCACTGATTGTGTCATTTGATGAAAAGAAATGTTTGATTTGATGGATTCCCATTTGTCTCTTTTTGGTTTTGTTGCCTATGTTTTGGTATTATAGCCAATAAATCACTACCAAATCCAATGTCATGAATCTTTTCGATAATATTTTCCTCTAAGAGTTTTTATAATTTTAGCTCTCACATTTAGGTCTTTGATCCATTTTGAGTTAATTTTTATATCTGTTCGAATTTTATTCCCCTGAGTGTGGATATCCAGTTTTCCCAACATTGTTTGTTAAAGTGTGTCTTTCCCCATTGAACAGTCTTGACATCCATGACTAAAACCATTTTACTATATATACAAGGGTTTGTTTCTGGGCTGGGTGCTTTATTCCAATGATCTGTATGTCTCTCTTCACTCCAATAGCATCCTGTTTCATTACTGTGGCTTTGTAATAGGTTTTTGAAACAGGTTTCCCTTAATTATTTGCTTACTTATTTTTCCTATTAACCTTGCAAACTCAACATTCTGACCAGTTTCCAATATTCTGCAACAGCTTCCTGATAATGGCTTACTCACCTGAATATTTTCTTCCTGTCACTTCCCTCACAACCATCCAGGGTTCCTTCCCTTGCTCCAATGAGGCAATCACAGCTGGCTTAGAAACAGAAAGTCCTAGTTATAAGAAAAGAAATTGAAATGAGATGGAAATGATAGTACCCAAACACAGCGACTCAGAGATGATTTACATAAAAATAAATCACAGGTCCGTAGAAGAAAAATTAAAGGATAAATTTAATTTATCCCATTCAGGTAAGTTCAAGATTATAAGAAACAAAGAAATACTAAAATTTAAATAACCTTTCTGTCTTCTTATTTTTCTATAAGAAAAAAATTTCCTGAGATTTTTTTTCAGATATTTTTAACATTAAATGTGAATTCTTAGAATGAAACTTCCAAAGGCAAATTATGTAAAAGAAAGTACATTTGTTATAGAAAATGAGATAGTGTCCATTTGATCTATAAATAGTAAATGACTTTTATTGACCCAGCCTACCACTGCATTAATTGGAAAAGCCAAAGAGCTTCACATTTGGGATCTATGTGGTTAGTGTTCTATGCTGTGCACTGGCAGGTATAGCACAGTGGAAATAAAAGACAAAGCCTGGCTTCTTTGACAATGTTATGCTTTAACAATGCAGCATTTTAATTCTATCCATTAGTCATCAAGGAAAAAAATTACTATAAGAAAGGACCAGAATAAGTGAGGATAGGGAAATTGAAAGTTCAACTTCATCTAATTGTGCTCATTTCTACCCAAAGGAAATTTGTATCTAGTTAACTGAAAGCTATCCCTAAAATTCACAAGGGAGAGAGCAGACATTCTAAGAAATTCTCAATGAGTTGGTAGAGACATTCTTATCTGTTAGGTAACTTTACCAAGTGAAACCAAGTTGCTGTCGTTCTCCAACATCACATCTTTGTACAAATTCCTCTGTGCAGGGTTCAGGCATTCCCATTCTTCTTGAGAGACATCTATAGACCTATCTCTGAACAACACCAACCCCTAAAGTAACACATCACAGTACTATTTTATGATATTATAAGAAATATTTTTAAAAAGCAAAGATAGGTACTAAAAGAAGGACTGGAAGAAAGGAAAAACAGTGTATAAATTAAGTCTTTGAAGTTGACCAAAAAGGAATTTAGTGTGACTAAAGCAGAATGCTTATATTTCTTTGTTGTTGTTGTTGTTGTTGTAGATAGATACAATACCCATTTATTTGTTTGTTTAAAAAATTTTAGTTGTATATGAACACAATAACGTTATGTATTTATATGTGGTGCTGAGGGTCAAACTCAGTGCCTCACACATGCAAGGCAAGCGTTCTACCACTGAGCCACATCCCCGGTGTCTATTTATTTATTTTTATGTGGTGCTGAGGATTGAATCCAGGGCCTTACATAGGCTAAGCAAGTGCTCTACCATTGAGCTACAGCCCCAGCCCCCTATATGTTCTTAAACAATTCAGTTTCTGCAGATACATTTTCTTGCATGCTGTGGGAAACTCTTGTTAATCATCTATAAATTAACAATACATAGAGGTTCCCAATTAAATAGCTGAAAACTGCGAGGTACAGTGTGCATATCTCTAATCCCAGCAACCAGGGGAGTTGAGATGGGAGTATTTGAGGATTTGAGGCTGTCTCAGCAAGTTGGTGAGACCCTCTCTCAAAAAAAAGGGGGGGGAGTGGTTGGAATTGGGTAAAGTGCCCCTGTTTCAATCTCCAGCACAAAAAAAAAAAAAAAGGAAAAGAAAAGAAAACTTTTTATTTTTCCCAGAATGTTTTACAAAAATCTCCATCTTAGGGGGAAAAAATAAGCTTGAAGATATTCCTTCATCATTATGACTATTACTCTTCACACAATTGCTTTAGTAAACATCTGATGCAGGCTATACATCCCAAAGATGGACACAGTAGTATCTCTCACCATTATGCTCTTCTTCAATGCAACCTGAATTTGTTCCCTTCCAAATGGTGTGGGGATCATTGCTCCCCTCTCTTAGGCTGAAAGGACATTTGTGATTTAACTATAAGGTATGGCAAAAGAACTACATGACTTCTGAGGCTAGATCTCAAAAATGGCTCATATTTCTGCCTTACTTTCTTGGAATGCTTGTTCTTAAAATCCAGCTACTAGGTTTCTAGGAAGCATAAGCAGCCCATGGAATAACTCATAGAGAAAGGAACTAAAGCCACCAAAGAACAGCCAGAAACAGCTTGCAAGCCATGTAAAGGAGTCATCTTGAAAGTGGGTCAGTTCAGCTCCCAATCAAGCTACCTCAGCTGATACCACAAGAACAGAGACAAGCAATCCCTACCAAGCCCTGTCCAGACTGTAGATGTCTAGCCAAACTATAACTTGTGGTTTTTATATATTAAATTTGGGCTGCTTTGGTTTTTTAACTAATTTTTTATTTATATATGACAGTAGAATGCATTATAATTATTATTACACATATAGAACACAATTTTTTATATCTCTGACTGTATACAAAGTATATCACACCAATTCATTTCTTTATACATGTACTTTGGATAATAATGTCCAATCCATTCTACCATCACTTCTAACCCCCTGCCCCCTCCCTTCCCCTCTGCCCTATCATCTATTCCTCCCATGCACCCCCTACCTACCCCACTATGAATCAGCCTCTTTGTCAGAGAAAACATTCAGCATTTGGTTTTTTAGGATTGGCTAACTTAGCATTATCTTCTCTAACTCCATCCATTTTACCTGCAAATGCCATGATTTTATTCTCTTTTATTGCTGAGTAATATTCAATTGTGTGTGTGTGTGTGTGTGTGTGTGTGTGTGTGTATCACATTTTTTTTTATCCACCATCTACTGAAGGGCATCTTGGTTGGTTGCACAGTTTAGCTATAAACATTGATGTGGCTGTGTCCCTGTAGTATGCTGTTTCTAAGTCCTTTGGGTGAAGACCGAGGAGAGGGATAACTGGGTCAAATGGTGATTCCATTCCCAATTTTCCAAGAAATTTCCATACTGCTTTCCATATTGGCTGCACCAATTTGCAGTCCCATGAGCAGCGTATGAGTGTACCTTTTCCCCCAATCCTTGCCAACACTTATTGTTGTTTGTCTTCATAATAGCTGCCATTCTGACTGGAGTGAGATGAAATCTTAGAGTAGTTTTGGTTTGTATTTCTCTAATTGCTAGAGATGTTGAATATTTTTTCATGTATTTGTTAATTGATTGTATATCATCTTCTAAGAAATGTGTGTTCAGGTCCCTGGTTCATTTAATGATTGGGTTGGGTTTTTTGTTTTGTTTTGTTTTGTTTTGTTTTGTTTTCGGTGCTTGGCTTTTTGAGTTCTTTATGTACCCTAGAGATTAGTCCTCTATCTGATGTTTGAGGGGTAAAGATTTGCTCCCATCGGGCTGCTTTATTAATGCAGCAATAGTAACTGACTTTTTAAAAACTGATGGTAAAACATTTGATCTTCTAATTAAGAGATTTCATCATTTTCTTAAACTTGAAAAACTCTGAATGGGCAAAGTCTTTAAAGCTTTTTCTTTTCAGTACTGGGGCTTCAGCCCAGAGGTTCTTACCCACTGAGCCACATCCCAATCCCTTTTTATTTTTTATTTTGAGACAGAGTCTCCCTAAATTGCTAGGGCTTGCTAAATTGTTGTGATACTCCTGCCTCAGCCTTCTGAGTCACTGGGATTACCACCATCATGTTCAGCTCTATAAAGTCTTTTTTAAGGTACATATATAAGGTTTTTTTTTTTTCCCCAGGGGATAGAACCCAGGGCTGCTTTACCCTTGAGATACATCCCCACCCCCTTTTATTTTGAGACAGCTCACTAAATTCCCCTGGCTGGCCTTGAACTTGTGATCCTCCTGGCTCAGCTTTTGAGATGCTGGAATTACAGTGGTGCACCACCACAACAGCTATACATATTCATTTGTAACTATACCAGTTACAATGGTGTAGTAGTAACTGTCATCAACTATCACCTCTTAACTGTTATCAACCACCACCTCTCCCTGTCCTCTATATTCTGTCTCTAAGTTAGAGAATATTGATATAGAATGTTCCATATTCACGGATATAATCTGAGTTTAACATATCCTGTTCATCTAAAACTGTAGTTTGTAATTAAGTATTCACCTATCTTTTGGCAAGATCTTTATTCTTTCTATGCAAACATCAATCATGTCTCCATCTAATCCTAAAACCTCACAAACAAAAAGTCTTTCCATCCAGTGAGGTCACAGAAAACAAGTTCCCACAATATCTAACTGGGAGACCCCAAATTTGAAAAAGCATAGATTTCCCAGTAGAGTGACCTATTATCTGTTCTTTCCCTGTGGACTCTACTTCCCCTGAGGACATCTCAAGTTGTAGCTTTTTTTTTTCCTCCTCCCACAAACTTTATACCATTATCTTCCTTGTTATTCATTGCTGGTGTCAGACAACCATCACTCCTCCTCTAAAATCTAATGTCATCAACTCTTCAGATTATATTATCTTATTATCTTATTCTGTTACAGTGATTTGTTGACATTCAGGCTTTTGCTCCTCAGGAATTTTATTTTTAATTAATTTTTTCTTGCTTTTGAGACATGATTTTCTTTTTCTTTTTTCTTTTTTTTTAGAGAGAGAAAGAGAGATTTTTTTAATATTTATTTTTTCTTTTTAGTTTTCAGCGGACAACATCTTTGTTTGTATGTGGTGCTGAGGATCGAACCCGGGCCACACACATGCCAGGCCAGCGCCATACCGCTTGAGCCACATCCCTAGCCCCCGCCATGATTTTCTTATGATGCCCAGGATGGTCTTAAACTGATGGGCTCAAACAATTCTCTCACCTCAGTCTTCCAAGCAGCAGGACTACAGGCTTGCGCCACCACACCTGGCACCCCCCACTCAGGAATTTTAGCTTTTGGTTTACTGTCATTACTACCAATACTATTAATCTTAATTGTAAGTAATTTCAAATATCCACATACAGAATCTTTCTAATATGATGGCCTCCTCAACCCCTAAATTCTTCTACTTCCATGATCTTGCCTCTTACTCTACTTTAATCACTCGTCATTACTACTCTAGACCCTATTGTTATCAATAACCACAATATCTCAAAAATATCAAGTGATCTTCTCTCTGATCATCTTCCCATTTCACATACCCAGCTCATAGTTCTTCTTCTACTTCTTACTAAGTTTACAATTCTATGCTCAATTAATCACTCAATTCTCAACAATTTCCTTAAAAGAATACTATTTTCTATTCTCACCTTATTCCTGGTAGAAGACTGAACATATGAGAAACAAGGAATGATTTATTCAATGAGTATATGAAAACTGGTTGGAGAGGAAAGGAGCAAAAAAGGAAGGGCATGAACTTCTGGTTCCATAACTTATTCACTAGTAAGTTACTGTATAATTCTGAGTACAGTAATAATATTAGGACAAAGAATGCAAATATTTATGTGTCTTATAAGAAAAAAATTACTTCAATTAGAAACTTGAAATCGTAAACTTACATCGGCCATGGCTTATTTTAGAATTGAATGTATTAATTAATCCTCTTCTTGGTTCCACTGTAGAAGAAATTCAGTCCAAAGAATGTGTTGCTGGATGACAGGAGAGAAAAGACAGGAGATTAAGCCTTTGAGCACCCAAAATGATAATTTTATTCCCCTTTCAAGTAATTTTATTCCTTACACCATAAACACATCCATAAAATGATTAGAAGAAATTTGGACTAATCCCATCTTCACTAAAAACTATGAGGGGGACACAACCACAGTAGACTGGACTCAAGAAAAACAACCTGGTCTCTTTAGCAGAGGGATTTAGTTAGGTCAAACTAGTCTCCTAACACTAAAATGAAATGGTCTTCACCCAGTTGCTCAAAATTGAGCACTGAACTAGTACATTCTCACTGTATTAAGAGGAAAAAATAAAAGGCAAGACATTTTTATAAAGAGAAAAGATCAAGGAAATAGACCCCAAAGACCCAGTAACAAGCATTTTTAAAAGAGACTAAAACCCAGATGGAAAACAAGAAATAAACAGAACAAAACTTTCCAGAGCAAAGTAATCCTTGAGTCTTTAGTTTGATGCACTATAGGAATGAAAGAAAAAACACACAGGGAAGCACCCTGGAAAATCTTAAGTTTGTCTTTTGATACAAAAAGATCTGCTAGGCAAGCAGTCTACCACTGAGCTTCGCCCTCCAGTGCCC